GACTTTGGTCTCCAAGTTTAAGTATAGCAATTTGCTATCTTCATCTATGTACCCCAGTGATTGTGTTCTCTTCTCTCCACCCATTTCAAGTAGGAAGAAGTCAGGACAATAGTTATCCCTGCGTAATTTTATTCCCCCTAACTTGCTTTCCATTTTTCCAATTTGTTGCAGCAGAAAGTATCTTTAAGGAGAATAGACTTTGCCTTTTTCCAAACTGACTAGAAAGAAGGAACTGTCTGACCCTGGCTCCTGCAGGAAAAGAAAGCATCATTATTGACTCCTCTCCCTCCCTTCCTCACACTGCACTTTCTGGTTGCCCTGCTTCACCCCAACCTTCGAATGTCTAAAGCCAGCTGGAGCTGGCTGCAGCTGTTGGCTAGTCCTTTCCTTGAAACAATGGGGCTTAAACAGCAAAGCAGATGCATTTTTTAAAAGTTGAAATTTTAAAAAAATGAAACCATGTACATCACCTTTAAAATAATTTATAAATCTCTTCTCTCTCTCATGTCTCCCCCTCTTCTTCTCAAATACATAGGGAATTTCTTGAAAGCAATATTTTACTCTAAAACAACGGTTCTCAAACTTGAACTGGCATCAGAATCATCTGGAAGATTTGCTAAAACCCAGATTGCTGGGTCCCACCCCCAGACTCTTTCATTCCCTGGGTCTGGGATGAGACCGGAGGATGTGCATTTGTAACAAGCTCCCAGGTGATGCTGATGCAGGCCCAGGGACCACACATTGAGAACCATGAGCCTAAACAAAGAATAACTGCAAGAGAGAGAGAGAGAGATCAAGAATTTATGATTCCAATTCACATCACCTCCAGTTGTGAGGCTCTGGGTGTCAAGTCCCCGAGTACATGGCAGCATCATGGAGATTAATATAGGAAGGTGGAATTTAAGCTGCTTGAGTTATTTCTCTTCTGCTGGTCCCTCAAGATACTTAGTAAAAATATCAAGAAAAGGAAAATGAAATTATGCAAAAAATATGACCATTTTTGGCAGTCAGCTCTTTAGATTCCCACTTGCATTTTGGCTGTATTTCTATTTTATCTCTTAAACTGCTCATAGTGCTATAAAGTGAGTACCTGAAGCAGACAGATTTGGGTTCAGGTCTTGCTTTACTTGCTGTGTGTCCTTTAGCAACTCAGTGAGGAAACAAGGGGAAACTAATTCTTCAGATATATTGTTAAGGATATATTTTAGACTCTCTTAAAGAGCCAAATCCCACTTTTCCAAAAAAGCATTGTATTTATATAACAAAACAACAAGGACCAAATTTGGTCAAGGGCATCAATATATTTAGTTCACATGGATGTCATATTTTTAACCCGTAAGTTAGTCAGAAATTTAATGGCCAGTTCTAATAAGAGTAATGTTCAATCCTTCAATTCTTCCTACTTCCCTGAGGGAATGCTGTGGATTCACCCTTCTACCAACGGAGCCAAAATGTACCTGGGCTCATTTTATGAAATATATAATGAAAGCACTAAATTCTACATATCACATGTATTTGACTTCCAACGGGTTAATGTGATAGATATTGAAGTTTCTTGCTTATACCATCAATGGTGCCTGTGTTTCTTCCTCCTCCCAGATTTGTCCAGCCCCAACAGAGGTCTCAGAACCGTAACACGTGAGGAGCTGAGTGGTGTGAGACAATTTAGTCCAGCCCCTAATTTTACCTAAAAAGACTTGAGGCCTATGAAGTTTGCGTACCCTGCCCAAAAGTGCTCTCCAGGGCACTAAACACAGATGTCTTCCTTCCCCATCCTCTGTATTTTCCCTATACCATTGGCCTCCACATTTTGCTTAAAAGGAACTTGTAAGCATTCATTATCAGATTTTACAGAGAAAGACCCCTTAGCTTCAAGCGCAGTTCCTTCCCAAAGCCGGTTAACAGGGATTGTTGTTGTTGGTAAAAATATTATCTTTGTAGCACCAGCAGGTGTCTGTGAGCCTATGAAGCTATGGGACTCCAAAATACAGAACTCTGGGAAAGAAGTGGTGTGACTCCCTAATAGAAGTGTGCATTTCCCCAAATCCTCTAAAAAACCAGATGCTCAAGACTGAACTTTGGAAATCTACTTGGACAATTTTTTCCTTGAATTTTCCCTAAAGCATCTTGCAAAAACCCATAGTTCCCCAAAGCTTCTACTGAAATGGAAGTGTTCCTTTTAAAAGCTGAGCTTCTCTACATGGAAAGAGCTTTACTTTATCTGCCTTTACATTTCAAAAAGCTCTAACACCTGTCACTTTGCTGAAGTGGTGTGTGTGTTTTTCCTTCCCAAACGGTGTACTATCCGGACGTGTGGCTTCGGCGACCAGGTGGCTTTGGTGGATGAGTGTGGGAGCCGGAGTCCTTTGGCCCATTAGCGGTTTCCCCTTGCGCGCTCGCTCGCGTCAGGCAGATGCCGGATGTTTGCGGGTGGTCGGGTTTATCATCTTGCAGGTCTGCGGGAAGCCAGAGCCCTACCAGCCTCACCCCTCTTCCCCGCAAGCCCTCTCCGGCCACAGACTTGGGAGAGATTTGCATCCTGCCTGGGCCAAAGCACGCAGCCAGCGGTGCACCTGGTCCGCGCGGGACACGGTGCTGCGGGTCACGCCCTCTCTCTGGAGCCGCTCTTTTCTCTCTCTGCACCCCCCCCCCCTTCCTCACCTCTGCTAAAAAATAGGCAGCCTCGCTCCTGATACACCAAGGAAACACACACACACACACACACACACACACACACACACACACACACGTTGGGCTTGAAACACGCGGCTCAGCGGATAGGATCGGCACCGCTGGCCTGGCTGACCCGCGCCCTCGGACAGCCCGGACCTCCGGACACAGCCCGCTCCCCACGCCCCAGTCGCTGCGGCCACGGGGTGGGTGAGTAGGGGCTGCCAGAGGACAAGCCAGTTCAGATACAGCTCTGAGCCTGAAACTGCCCCCGGGTCACCCAGACCGGCTGCAGGAGAAGAATTTGCGGGCAGAATTCGCAGAACCCCACCCCCTGGAGCTACCCCCACCCGCACCACCTGGAGGAGAGAACTGTGATCAGGATGGGACTACGGTCACCACAATGCCCGGGGTGGGCTGTGCCTTCCCCTCGGGTCTCCCCGCACAGCCAGGACACAATCTACGCTCGCTGGTACACACCAAAAAAACACGCGCCTCACTCCGCCCCTGAGGTGGCGGCGGAGGCGTGGGAAGGTATGCA